CTGATCACACCCCAGTCCTGAGGCTTTTCTCTACTTCACCTCCCTGGGTTGAATTGACTTAAGCAAATGAGCTGCATGATTTTCCACCAAGTTGCTCCTCCTGTGTGATTATTTTGTGGATTTTCTTACCTCAAAGAAGGTGCTGAAGCGTGGCTTCTCTGTGTACCACCATCCCTGGGAACAGCAACACACAGACAGCCCAACGTGGTGCACATTTTTTTGAGCACTGATCACAGAGATGAGCCCAGGACTGTGCAGCCCCAGCACATCCATCCCACTCCCCTCCACACTCAGTGTGGGTGGCAGTGCCCTTTCAGCCACCACTGCACAGCTCCAGGATCCATCCAGGGCAGAAATGCTGCTCCAAGGCAGGTTAATGCCTGAGGAGTTTCCCTCACCATGAGCAGCCCATCCTGCCCACTCCCACATCCCAGCTTCCCCCTCCTGCAGCCTCAGCCAGCCCAGAACAGCTAAACCCACACAGCCATGGTGCCATTGATGGGATTATGGCCATCCCAGTTCACATTTCACCAGGCACCTGATTTTAGCCCTTGGCTTCACACAGGGCAGTGGTGCAGCTCCTGTCTGCTGTCCAGGGGCTGCAGCTGTCAGAGCAAGGGGTGGGACGTGGCCTGGGCTTGCTCAAATAAATGGATTTTCCTCAAGCCACTGTGAGTCACTTACCCAGGGATAATGGCTACAGAATCCCAGAAAAGCTCAGGTTGGAAGGGACCTCAAAACTCATCGGAATCTTCCAGTGGACCAGGCTGCTCCAGTCCCACCCAGCCTGGTGCTGAATGCTCTGTCCCACCTCAGCACAGCTCAGCAGTCGGGTGTGCAGAGATCCAAGGAGGAGAAACATCTCCTAAACACAGAGTAACTCCTTCTTCTGCCGCAAACACCACAGAACAGCATCCCCACACCCAGGACACCCAGGAGATCAGGGCTGTAAGCCCAAAGTGCTCATCCCAGCACTCCCAGTGCACCCTGCCCACACACACACACACCTTACCTGGCAATGCCCAACACTCCCCATCAGAGGGTGGCTTTGGGCTCCACACGGACAGGGAAGCAGGAGGCAAAGAGGCAGGGCTGGTTCCAAATGTTCCACTCTTTATTTGAAGTTTTACATGCCACCAGCGTACATGAAAGTTGCACATTCAGAACTGGACTCACTACGAGGACAAAGGGCCAGATGCAAACACAAGTGTCAAACCAGCACACGATGGAGGAGCCCGAGCCCAGGAGCCTGCAGGGGTCTGTGACCAGGCTGCCACCCTGGTGGCACTTGGGGTGTCAGAGATGGACCCCCAGTTTTAGCACCACCATCCTTTGCCATCTCCAGAGCTGGGAGCTGGGTCTTCTCTCCCAGCGTGGCACCGTTCCCTTTCAAGGAGCTAAAGAAGAATTTTTGGTCATATCTCTACCAGAACTGAGGGGGTTTGGAGACCAACTGCCCATTTAATGCTTTCCTGAATCCCCCTTTCTATCAATGCCAGCAGTTTTTACAAGGAGAAACAATTTCCAGCCGCTGTTTAGAGGGAGAGACGACAGAAATAGGGACTCTTACACTGACATTTTATTTTCAAAGAAAGTTTTGATAGAAAAACATTTTCCCCAGCAGCCTTGGGCAGGGAGTTGCAGCTTCCACTTCAAAGGACAAACTTCAAAAACAAATCCAGTGTCCTAATGGTTTTGTGCTACATTACTTAATTGTCATACAGCTAATTAGCAATGCCTGATTTCACATTCTCTGTACATAGATGAAGTTCACAAAAGAAGGGGCTACTTAAAAGAATAAATAAAACAAGGCACCAGGCAGCCAGGCTCCGACAACATTAACATAAAATGTTACACTTTACTATTTAAAAAACTGAACTAAAACCCCCATCATGATTAAACCTATATTGATCTGCCTTCCTTCAGATCTCAGAGCTTTGGATCTCTGCAAGGAAGGGGGGAGAACACAACATGGCAAGCGGGGGCTTAGCCTGTGCCTCTGTGTGTATATTTCACCAGCGTGCAGCAGGGATCTTTAAAATTCTAATTATTTCCCTATCACCAAGTAAGATGGGGATCAATAGATGGTACAGACTGACCCCTTTCCTCCAGTGTCAGGGGGAAATTAAAAAAAAAGAAAGGGGAGGGCGAGCTGAGAGCGTCAGAGGTCAATGCCACAAAACAATAGATATTGATGTCTCCATTCATTTCAAACAGCGGAAAGGTCAATGCCTCCCTTGCTTCATGTTTTATGGCTGAAATCCTGCTGCTAACAGCAACAATGTTAGTAGTCAGACCTCATCCATCCTTTTTTATTATTATGATTATTTCTAACCAGGTTAGCCATTTTGAAAATTTGACGAAAGCTGGGAGCAGCAGTGGGGGGCTGGGTAGGAGGAGAAGAGGGGAAGCTGCCCTGGAAATTAATGGAAGAGATGGTTTCCATTAGTTTTCAAGTCTCCCTGTCCCCCTACCTGTGCCCCAGTTTGTCCCTCACTGCCCCCTAAAAAATGAAAAGGGCCTGAGGTAACATCCCTTCACTATTAATCATTATTCCCTGTACAACATCCCAATTGGTTTCTATGGAAATGATTCTCGTGCTGGAGTACCCTGGCTGCCTGTGCATCTCAAAGAGGCAGGAGAGCTGCAGTGGAAGGAGATTGGGCTCTGCAGCACCCAGCACAGCTCCTGCACTCCTCTCCCAGCTTTGGACACTCTGCTGGGACCAGCCAAGAGGGAATTGCATCCCCCTTAGACAGGTGAAACAATCCTTCTGCACTGGTTCCCTCCACCAGGGGGAAAGCCCCAAATTTCTACAGCTTTATCCTAAACCAGCACTGCTGGAAGGAGGCACCCAGCACCTCACAGGGACGGTTCCACACTCCTGCCCACTGTCCCACAGCTCTGAACATCCCTGTGAGGGGACAGGCCCTGCAGAGGAGGAGGCAGTGATGGGAATTCAACCCCGGTGAGGGGGCTGTGGCTCTGCTGCTCTCAGTGCACCCCAGCCCCAGGTCTGCCCTCTGTGAGCAACACCTCACCTGGAGGGGAGGGTTCAGCACCCGGGGAGCCTCCTCCCCTCCCACAACAGGCCAAGCTCAGGATGTGTGTCTGGATTCCAGAGGGAGATCCATGACTCCATCCTGCCCTGCCTCCTCTCACTCCCATCTTCTCCTCCTCCCTGACAGAGCAGTGACCACAGCCAGAGCTCTCCTGAAGGGAGAGGCTGTCACCACACAGCCCCTTCTCCTAACACAGCAGTGCACACACTGCCATTTCCTAAAGAGACCATGAAATCAGCTTTGCCAACAGCTGAGGAAGCAATCCTTTGACCCACACTCCCAAGAAACCCACGGGAACACAGACGACTCAGCCCCTCTGAATTCCCCACACCAGGGTCACTCCAGACCCTCCCAGCCAAACAAGACTTTGGACATGAGCAGAGCAGCAAACTACATCGAGTTTTACACAAGAACAGACCTGTCCCAGAACATCCTTCTCTCACAGAACCATGGACTCTTTGGGGGTGGTCAGAACAAAGATTTCTGCTGCAGTTCCCAAAGACTGGAGGTCTGCTTTGGAAGGCAGCAGGGACTGGGATCCTGCAGAGGCGCTCCCTGTGAGAAGGGCACCTTCTGGAATTGAATTCATTTGTTTCAGACTATGGACAGCAGCATCAGCAGGCTCAGAGATCACCTCCTTAAATGCTCCCAGATAGCAGGAGGGAGATTTCTGGAGAGATGGGGACAGAGAAAAGGAGGGGGGATTTCATAGTAAATAAAATCCAGGAGCAGAACACCCCTCTCCCTGCTCCCCTCTCTTCCTCTGCAGCTGCCTGAGTGCTGAGTGGGCTCTGAGTCCCATGCACTGCTCTGCTCAGAACATATGGAGCTGTGTTTAATAGCCCAGCTCTGCCAATTGGGTACCATTAGGGTGGGTTCTTTTCCCAGTGTAAATGTTGCAGAATATAAATTGTAATTAACACCGATGCCAAAATAGCACTTAGAGAAAATAAGCACATTATTAACATCTGGTGAATCCTGCCTGGAGTGCAAAAGCAGCGGAAATTCTCACTCTCCATAAGAGGATTTGTAGTACAGATATCAAGCACTGGCCCAGAGTTGGGGAGCTGGGGGTGGAAGGTGATTTTAGCTCTTTATTACTGTTTGGGATGCTGCCTTTATCACCTGTGGGTGACCTTTCCTAGCCCTGCTTACAACTGGCAGCACCATCAGGACTTGTGAGCCACTTGCATGAATACAGATGCCCAAACATCACATCCCTGGCAAGAGAATAACAGCATATAAAACACCCCTGGCTGCTGCTCCCATCCAGCAGCACACCAGGCAGGTGGACATGGATGTGCCAAGCCAAGTGCACAGCACGCTCCACCAGGTGGTTGCAAGCCCAAGAGCAAAGGTTTCACACCAGAATCAGGCAGCAGCTGGTTCTGCACAGCACTGTCCCCCAGAGGAACAGGAGAGGTGAGCTGGCAGCACTGCCCAGCTCCTGCTGATGCCACCACAGCTGTTTGTGCAGGGAAATCCCCGCTGAGGGTGGGAATGGCCTCGCTCAACCAACACCAGGATTCCTACACAGGACTGAACAGGTTCCCTAAGGCACCAGAGAGCTCCTGCCACACCCTGCACCTTCCCTCTGCCCTGAGGCCAGTGGCACAGGCAGGACAAGGCAACTTTGCCAGTGCTTCCAACCAGGAGGAGAAAGCAGCTTTGCAAACACCCTCTGCCCAGTCCTGCTGGTCATCCTAGGAAAGAAACACGGACAAAAACCAGGCAGAGCTGAAGTGGCCTGAGCTGGACAGAGCAGCAGCTCGTGCTCGTGCCAAAAAGCACATCTGATGTGCTCAAGAGAGGGAGAAGGGGATTCAAATGGGTGAGTAATGTGACAAGAGGTAGAAAGAACCTCAGGGGGGAGAGTGGGAGGGGAAGCAGTGGCAGGAGCAGGGCAGCAGCTCCCCACACTCAGCTGCAGGGAGCTGAAGCAGAGCCTCCAACGCTCAGGAGCGCTCCCAGCTCAGCTGCAGCACTCCCAGGGGAGCTGGCCTCACATTCCTGCTGCACTCCAGAGGCTGTGCTGGCTCCCTGCCCTCACAGGGGAAGGATGAGGGCCTCGGGAAGGACAGCAAACCAGCAGGGCTGGTCTGAGCAGGGCACAGACCTGTGCTAGCAGAGCCTGACACTCACCTGCTCCTCACTGTGACCTCTCTGAGCACAGGGGCTGTCACAGCCTGGCTCAAGATTTACACCTGGGGGACACAATTCCAGGCAGGCTCACACGTGGCTGATTGGAAAGCAAGGACAGAAAGTCCTCCCAGGCTGGGAGATGCATTTTGCTCTCAAGTCTATCCCATCAGACCAGGCTTCCTCTGAACACGGAGGGCAGAAGAGCATTTGGGAGAGGGCATCTTGGGTAGGAAATGCTGACAAGGAGATGGGCACATCATCTTTGGACGACTCTGGGCCTCCCCAGAAGAGCAGAGCTCAACACATTCGGGATTTGGGTGAAGTCAGACAGCTCTGGTCAGCAGCTGCTTTGCAGAAAACAGACCTGGTGTGCTACCAAGGAAAATTCTGCCACCCAGACTTGCAGCTCCAGGAACTTGTAACTTGGCTTTTGGTACAGCTGTCTGATGCTTTTAAAAGTGCTCAGTAAATAAGGCAATATGAAAGTGATCCAGACCACTACTGATGCCTGAGGAAGTTCTGTGGAGCAGAGAAGCTGACTGAAATCACACTGTGAAAATACTTCATAACATCTCTAAAATTAGCATGAGCTCAAGGCATGGGATATAAGGACAGAACTGGAACACTACATTCCCATCTACACTGCAAGACAGACTGCATATAAATCAGATCTGAGCCTCAACTTATTCACTGTAGGCACCATCTACCCTAGGACAAGGATTTCCAGAAGAGCTGAGAACTTCTTCCACCAGACCAATGGAAACAGCACCAGCAGGAACATACCATGGTCAAGGTGTTAATAACCTTAATTTGTTATTAAAAAATAAAGAGTCCTTATGGTACTTCTCAGTAAAAAAAAAAAAAATCCTTCAAATATCTGTGACTGCACATGTGTGACTACAAATGCCTATTTGTAACATAGAAAAGATGTGATGCACTTCAGTTGAGCAACACATTTTTGTGCCTCTGAGCTGGCCTAGGCTCTCTACTTTGCCAAAAACAGACTGAAGCAAAGAATGATTTCCACCAAAACCACAAAGCACACTGCCAACGTACACAGGGGCCCTTGGGACAGACACCAGGGGACACAGGGGACAGAGCATTGTTAAGTCAGTTTCTCTTACCTTTAACTTCAGTAAAATAACAGAAACAATTCACATCAACCGCAAGGAAATACTCATCAGATTCCACAAGCCTTTGAGACACGATTTTTTCAGATGCAAGCAATATCCAATAGATGTTTCCCCACTGTAAAGAACCAGCTTTTTTTATTTTGCAATTGCACCTGGTTGAAGTGATTGTACAGCATCCAGCGAGGGGCCAGGGGTCAAGGATGGGAAATCCAGGCCAACAAGAAGCTGCTCCATGGGTTCACAATGACTTGTCCTTTCCATGCTGTGGCAGTCACCACCACAAATTGGGAGGTTCCTCAGCCACTCTGCTTTTAAACAAGGTAATTTCATCCAAGTGCCTCATGGGGACATCTCTGATGACCTCTGTCAAGTCCTCGTGAAGCAGAGGGAAAATGACGACGTTTAATGCAGGGCGCTCTGCCTGGAAACTAAATCAGACACAGGTGATCAGCCAAGGAAAAATACCAGTTCTGCAGTGCAAGGGAAGGGGATGGCCTGGCATCCATCATGCAGGATGGGGGCAAGGAAGGAGGAGGCAGGAGGGGCAGCTGGAGCTCCAGGTCTCCCACTCTTCCCTCTCTGTGTCAGCAGGGAGCTCAGGCTGGGTTTGCACCCCTCTGCAGCGAGTCTGCCAAGCTGCCACAAGCCCAAATTGCACCTGAAATCGGGAGGGAGGAAGAAGTTTTTAAAAAAATTAGTAAAAAATTAATCGAGACGGGTAGGTATTCTGAGAGGATCAGAGATGCCAAGAGCTCTGCCCAAGCTGGGCAAGGTGCTCAGCGGTAACAATTTACACCACCTGCAAACCAGAGGCAAGTTGCAGAGCCATTAGGAAAATCAGGCCAGAGCAATGTCAGGCATTCCCTCGGGGCTGAGCCTGGGATTATCACTTCAGGCTGGGTTGTTCTGCATGCAGAGCCTACACTCTGCAATTAGAGCACAGGCAAGTTTAGAAAGCTCAGATGTGCAGATAAGCATTGAAGTGTGCTCACACTCACACACTGCAGCCTTCTTTTCAATCCAGGCTGCAGAGCAAGGGAAGAGATTTGCACAAGTTAAAGCCATTAAACAATGCAGAAAAAACCGTACAGAAAAAGCCCAAGTGCCCACCAGCAAGTACTTTACATGACAGCAACCTGTGAGGAAGAGAAATGGTGTTATTCAGGGCAGTGTAACAAGAATTCAGTCTTTTAAAGCTGGGAGGGTAAAAACTGTAGAATAATTACCCTTAAGAGTTACACCTTAAAATGAAAAAGATCAGTGACTCTTAGTCCTGTGCCACCAAGGTGTTTCCTCTGAAGGGGGTGACAAGGACCAGTTCATTATCACTGGCAAGGAGGCAGAGTCACACCGGCAGCACCATCCCTGGAGGCTGAACCGAGCTGTGCTGGGCACAAAGAGAAGCTCTCTGCTCCACAAACTTAGACAGGTGTGTGCCTGCAAGATTCCCAGCTCATCTCCAGCTCTGAAATGGCCCGATTTCTGTCAAACAGTGAGGAAAGGTTGGAGATCCAGCTGCTGGAAACAGGCATGAAAATCCCAGGTAGCAATGCAGCCAGCTGAAGAAAGCAACAGGAGAGACTGGCATTTCCTGGGAGACACAAAGGACATTCCCATCCACAAACGATCTGGAGTAGAGCTGCCAAAAACACAGCAGAGAAACTTCCATTCCCAGGCTGGCTGCTCAGCCTTGGTGGGTTGAATTAATTTGCCTGAACCTAAGTAGCTGCAGGAATAAGAATTTCCAGCAACAGAACTACCTGGGGCAATTTTCTATCTCTCTGCATCACAGACCTGCCCTTCATGCCTCATGCCTAAGGGCTGGCAGAAAAGGACACGGCTCCCTGAGCAGATCTGGGGACTTGTGTCAGGGCTGTGCAGCTTCTTACTTCCACAACACTGCCCTCAAGAAATCAACCAGCAAATAACTGCTGATCTGGGAGGCAGCTGGTAAAGTCTGCAGTGAAATCACATAAAATACAGCCAAATGTCTCTTTGATAGTCCCTGCTCTGCCTCAGCTCTTCGTGTTTCTGATCCAACACCACAGTCCTGCAGAGAAAATCATGTTAATGGACCAAGTTTACTGAAGTCCAGCAAAGGAAGAAACTGCCATCTTCCCAAGGGAGAGAAACTGCTTCCTTCTCTGTATACAGACTCTCCCAAATTGGACCTGAGTGCTGCCTTCTCACCACGTACAAAATTGTAGTTTATAAGCAGCCTTTACATGCAGCTATAAAAACAAGAAGCCAGACAAGTTTACATGATGAACTGCCACCGAGACAAGTGAAAAACCCCAACGCAGTTAAGTGTCCCTCCTAAAGAGGCTGGGTTTATACCAGAGGTTTGAACTTGATCTTAAAATAAGAGAAAAAAAGGAAAGCTTTGTGATTTTCTCCCCCCCCTCAACAGGAAACTGTATGTTACTGCAAACCTTGTAAATTCCATACCCCAGCAAGTTGACGCCGGAGAATTCTTTCCATGTACAATTTGCGTGATTTAAGGAAAAAAAAAATCAAATGCACATGGTTCACTATTATTCTCAGCTAAATGTGCGTGCAAAGCCTCTCCTTTAACTGCCTGTTAAAAAACACCCCGATTTTAACGAGCAGCTGTCATAATGTTAAACTGGGATTAGCAGTTCCCAAAAGCAGCTCCCTCTGCAATCCACGCTCCTTTAGTCCTCCCCCGGAAGGCAATTCCTTTCTTCATCCACCTGTCCAGGTGGGCTAGATTAAGTGAGAGGCACTTAGAGCACTGCTTCGAAAGGCCCCAGGCATGGGGAGGAGATAACAAGAAGGGGAAGAGAGTGAGTTAATGAGTTGCAGAACAGCTCCTGTAATCTTCTTGAGAGTTCTTTCCTCATTCCACACCTGGATGGACTTCAAACTCCATCCACCTCTGCTTGTAAAATTAAAACCCGAAGGACAGAGAACGATGTTGACCCAGGGAGACAAAAGAGCTGCAGTTTCAGACATGAAGCCCTGGGTTTTTTTTGGTTTGGGTTTTGATTTTTTTTTTTTTCAAGGGAAAAAAGCCAAGGATATGCTTGCCTGCTCTCTCCTACAAAACCTCCAGACTAAACTCATCATGATTAATTAAATGAAAGCAAGTTTTCTAGGCAACTGACTAGCAGCCCCTTCAGAACAGATCCTTTAATCAGAAACAACCACTGGGATAACAAAGAAAACACCTCCCTCCTCTCACCCCCCACCATGCACACTTTCCAGCATAACCTCTGGTCCAGCAGAATCAACACCAAACCAACCACTACCCAGCAGGAACTTCCACAAGGAGGTTTCTGAAGTGTCCTCATGTGGATGTGGACACTGAGCAGACCTGGCCACAGCAGCTGGTTGAAATCATCCACAGAGCTGGGAAAGAAATGATGCAGCACACCCTGTGTACAAATTCCTCCTGGCATCAGCATCTCTCTGCTCTTAGCTCTTGAACTGGTTGTGTGTGGATGAAAGGGTTAATGATGCTTTGCTATTTGTCTCCAGGATTCTCCCAGAACAGGTGTGGACTGGACTCAGTAAGGTTATTTTCAAGTGAACAGCTTGGTAAATAGCCTAACACTACACTCTCAATTACCTCCAACCACTGTGGCAGGATCCAATATGTAGGTCAGGGACAAAGTCAAAAAGACAGAGAAAAAAGTCTAAAGCAAGGCTGCACTTTGATCAGATTTCCTCGATTTTAGCAAGACAAAAGAGACCCTCCCAGGAATGCAGCTATCTCCTGGCAAACACTGACATGCCTCTCCTGAGAGGACAGTGAGTCCCCAGGAGATCCCACCTGCTGATAGATCCAAAGGGTGGCCCAAAGCCATGGGGAATGTCCCCAGCCAGCCTGGAAAAGATGGATCACACCACCCCCCTGCAACCTCTGCACCACACACCCTGGATGGGACAGCTCTCTGCATCAGGGGCTGCTCAAACCTCCTTTACTTGTAAGGAAAGGATAAGGCAGTGTTTGGGGCTGAAGAATGTTCCTCCCCTTGAGATTTCCACAGAAACCCAAGGAAAGTCCTAAGCCAAATGAGACATTTCAGCACATCCCACTTCCCAGAGGCTGGCAAGCAAGGAGGGATAATTAAACACTGCCAACAAAAGCAGCGCACAGCAGATGAGGTGAGGAAATACAGAGTATCAGGAATGGATCAAGGGCAGCTCTCTGACCTCCACAAACCAAGCTGAGCTTATGGAAAAAGAAGCTCCAGAGAAGGAGAGGAAGGAAGGAAATGAGGAGTTTGATTTGGGGGAACAGAGCAGACGAGGACTCTGGTTGGCACAACTCTGACAAATGCGAACCAGTCTCTGCTGCAGTCACACACCTTCTCCCCTCTCTGTTCTGACCTTCCCCACAGGCTGGTGAGCTGTTTTTGGAGAGCCACAAGTTTCTCAAGAGCAGAACTTTGAGACCAACTCACTTTCTGCCCTGTATGCAGCTTTCTCACCTACATGCAGAAAGCCCTGTTAATCCCCTGCCAGGCACAGCCTGTTTTTACTGGAAGACTTGCTCACACCTCCAAGTTCAAGCGTGGCATCTGTCTTGAAAGCTTCAGCCAGCACACCTGAGCCAGCCTGGAAACTCCCTTCCTGCAGCATGGCAGGGTGGAATGGAGGAAGTGCCAGGGCAAGCTGGAGCAGCTGGCAGCAGCATGACCCAACACACACACTCACACTTTTCTCATCTTCCAGGGAAGGCCAGGCAAACACTCCAGATTTGTTCCACTGGCCGTGCCCTGACCTCGGTACCAAGGAGGTGAAAATCTCTCCCTGCACACAGTGACTGCCAAAGAAGCTTCTGCAGGAGCATCTTCCAAAGAGGATTTGGCCTCACCAAAGAAACTGTAGGTGGGATTCTCCCAGCCCCTTCTCCTGGGAGCAGGGAGAACCCTTGCCTCTCACTCAACCCCCAGAAGCCTCTCATAGGGGTCCAAACCCTCCCCACACTGACTCTAAAGCAGATCCATTCTCTAGTGCCTTTCTCCCTTCCAGCATGCCAATGCTAAGCAGACTTTATTTCCAAACCTCAGAAATGGACTTGAAAAGCTCCCAAGGAAAGATGTTCAGATTCCTCTGGTTGCTCTTAACTCCACACAATGAGATATTTTTGCTATAAAGTGTTTTCCTTTAGGGGGTATCTTCCATCCCTTCATGTCTATGGAGACAAACCAACATTCTCCCACAGCTGCTGATTTTTCCACACTGAAGTCCCATCACTGCAGTCTCCAACCTGAGACCAAGGGGTGTAGATGGGACTCTGGAAATCACTCACACACATCACTGCCAACTCTCCCATTATCCTCAGTGCAGCTTCTTCATTTGCCACTGTGCTGAGCCACAGGGAAGGAGCAATAACACATCAGACTCATCCCGAGCCGAGGCAAATTACATCTCTCTGCTGTGGTTTCCCTGTAAGGCA